ACGCACTCTTTAACTTCCTACTTTGCCCGTAACATATACAATATATCACTGTACAATACTCGTTTGTTCGATCCTTGAATGCTCGTCTATATTTTGTCTGAACATTGCAGAAATCTTATTACGGCTCCATAATGTTAAATAATCTCTCAGCCGCATGTAGTTATAAAATATGTACTCGTTTTTGGTTATTTGGTGGTTTCAGTAGAGCGCGCGGGATTTGTTTTCAAGGGGGATTTCGTTTTTAACAGTTACCTAGAGAGGGAGAATAGGGGGATAGCACAATTATCATCAATATCACTATTATCACTTACTAACGAGTTTTGACGAAATTAAATTTTATTCTATTCATTGGTATAAGATATTAGTATATACGCTGTGGAATGTAAAACTTGATTTAAAAAAACGCGGTAAAAATTTCGGGGGGATTTCGACCCATTCTCCCACCGCCGCCTGTGTGCGCCACCGGGCGGTTTCGCAGCGGCCGTGCCGGTAAACGTAGGACCGTTATCGGACAAAACATTTAATGGCCGTGCGTTTGTGTACGGATTATTGAAATTATAACGAACGGCCTAATTCGACATAATGTTTTAAACGGCATTTTGAAACATCGTCGTAACCGGCGACGGCCATATTTTCAAGGTTGAATGCCGGTACACAAGTCGCAGGCGTGATTGTGAAATGGTTACAAAATCGAACGTGTCAAATCACGCGTCTGAAATAAGTGGTTTTTTTTTTTTTATTTCAAATTATCGCGATCGCATGTCTTTATTGTGATTACGATCGCTCGTTTGAATAATTTAAACCGCATTCGATATCCCGCGCGCTATTAATACAGTTTTTATTGTGTATACCTACTATTAGATGTTGTGCCGATCCGGGCGAAATGAGCGGCTTTATCCCCGATATCCGGCCACATACCGCAATATCTCGTTATACGAGTATATTGTAATACACCCGTATATAATTAGCCAAAAACGTGTTCGGCGTACCCGTCACACAATGTGTCGTTATTTATGTAAGTACCTACGCGCATTCTAATATTATAATATGCACTTGTGCAGTAAACTTGTGCCGTTGCTCTCGTGATCAGGGACGGGATTTTAAAACGCTAAAAAATACCGAAATAACGTACGCGAACAAATTACATCTAAATACGCGCTGTGATATACTATATATAAAATCGAAAAACCTACGGAGAAAAAAAAAATGGAAATTTGTTTTTTTTTTTTGCTAACGTTATTAAAAATTGTTACGTAGACGAACGCCGCGGGCAGCAAACCCCGTAAACGCGTTTTCTATTTGCACTATTGTTCTGTATAAACGCAGAGCAATTATTAGAATATTCACCGCGAAAATATTTTAGGTGAACTTTTTTAAATTTATAATTTATAAAATATGTCTAATTTTAAATTTAAAAAAAAAAGACGTCCAAGGATAATGGGGACGGGTGCGGCCACCGTTATAGGTAATTGAGTGTATTATTGTAAGCAACGATAAACCATTGTTTACGAAAAAAAGATTCTGAGCGGAGTTCAGTTGACAGTGATGCTTTGTCAACATTAAAAACGCCATGTTATAGTAAAATAATAAAGTAGGCTCTATAATAATATTTGTTTAATGTTGTATCAATTTTCCGAGTTTTTCTACGTTTTTCCCGGTTTTCCTATGTTTTTTCCCGGTTTTTCACATTTGCTGAGAAAACTCCGAAGAAAATCGAAAAACAGCCTCTATAAAGTACCTTCCCGAGAAATGTCCTTTTAAAAAAATTGCTGTCATTAAAAGTTGGAACAAAATTTCTGGCAGAAAAGTTGCCCACAGAAAAAAAAAATCGTAATATTATACAAATATATTTAGTACATTTTCCCGTTCTTTTTTTTTTTTTTTTTCGGTTTTTTACATTTGTTGAGAATACTCCGGGAAAATCGATAAACGAAGGGAGAGTAGTGGTGAGCTAATAAAATGCGCCACGCGCCGTGCCGCCACACAAATGATACTCCATTACTCTCCATTAATATAAACTTAAAAGTTAACGGGTTGACGGAAATTTTGACACGAAAGTTTAAACTAATACTCCGATTATCTATGGAATTTTTAATATAGTTTCCCATTTGAAAAACCCAAGTTGGTATCGTCACGGGATACTCCTTAAGTGTTGTGAAAAATCGAAGTAAATCGAAAATATCGGCCTCGACTGCGCTAAAAAAATTCCGAAAATCAGAATTCGCGTAAGTGTGCGTAAGTGTATGTGTACAAAATTATAATGCGCGATGCCGCAGCCGCGGACGCATATCATGAGTGTTGTACAGCGGCAGTGTGTTTTTACCGTGCATTATTATTATTATTATTATAAGTACAAGTGGTATGTAAAACGTCTTTTTCGATAATCGCGAATTTTTCTGCAACGTGTTTTCCGTGTAATAATAAAATCATTTCGCGTGCTCCGGGCGTATAATACAATTATAAAATATAACTATGGCTCTACAATCCGGGAGAAAACTATCAGAAATAAAGTAACTCCCGTACAATCGGGCGGATAGCAAATTATAGGCGTGCATTTCGATTTATTGAGTCATCGTCACAGGCTAGATGTTGAATTGAATGCGACGGTATTTTCTGTATGTAACAAAACTACCGTAAATATCGGATTTCGTCAAAAGGCTAAAGGCTACGGACAGATGCTCCAATGTACGGGGGAGGGAGGGAGGGAGGGAAAGAAATCGGTTAAGAATAATTGTAGTTTTTTTTTTACGAGGACGTTACATGAAATGCTTTAATTTTGGTTTTAGAGTAAAAATACCCATTATAAAATTGAAAGCGAACATTCCGCGAGACAATAATGTATTTTTTTCATTTTCGATATGCCGTCTATATAAATAACGACTTTATCAAAAACATTTCCAATTCACTAAAAGTTTTGAAAAAAAATACTCTGTTCGATAAAACGCAAAGTCTCGCCCTCCGGAATACTGTTCTCTATCAATTTCATAATTGGTTGTTTTGCTATAAAACCAAAAAATTAAGCGAGACCCGTGCAGTCTCCTTAAGCGAGTTTTTACGATACCGCGTGATTGTAAGACGGAAACAACAAATCCACGTGTAGCGTCCTCTTGAGTAAAAATAAAGGCATATCAAAATATTTAAAACCGAAAACTTTATACGGAATCTTGTTTACGGTGCTTTTTTTTTTTTTTGAATGTAATTAATTATATTTTACGGAATAGATTTATAATTCAAATACGAGACACTATTATGTATAGTCACGGCATTTTGTGCAAAAACGGTCAAATTCAATCGTTTAGGATTATAAAATATATAGGCATATAATTAATAGTCTATAAATATATAATAGGGCTAAATATTAATGTAATAAAAATATTTTGATTGCGTTTACCGCATCTGAAATGTATAAAATATAGCTAATTATGACGTATCTAGTGGAAACCCATATTCTGATTAAATTTTTTCGATGGCCTCCAACGTTTTATTTTGATCATTTTTCATTTTTTTTTTTTTTCAACCAACTGTTGGCTGCTATCATCTCGTCAAGCAACGGATAGAACCAGTATTAGAACGAATGGGTTTTTGTCTTTCTTATTTTCATTTTGAACGTTACTTAAGGGTTTATTCTCCGTGATATCCCGACGATTTACTTCCATCAGACATCTCGTCCCTATAGCTGATAGTTATAAAATGTTATTGAATGTTTAGAATAATATATTTTAAAAATTAAAAAAAAAATGAAAAATAAATAATAAGTTATTGTTTTTCAGTGATTGGGGAATGAAAATATACATTTAACTCTTCTCTACATTTGCGAAACAAAACCCGATTGCCGAAAAATTGTATTAAAAATAATGAATATACCTGCATTTCTTACATTTTCTCGTTTGTTCTCAGTTTTTTTTTTTCGGTTTTTCACATTTGTTGAGAAAATCGAAAAATGACCTCTTGAAAGACCTACCCAGTCAAATTTCCTTTTTGAAAAATTACTATCATTAAAAATTGGGGCGGAATCGCTGATGGAAAAGTTACTCACAGGAAACAAGAATGCCGTAATATATTTTAACGTGAACATTTTTTCAGGTTACATGTTGAAAACTATAGACATTAATTATAATAGCTCAAAATAGTCAATGAGTCAAGAATAAAAAAAATTTAATATTGGATGAAATCAAAAAATGTCAGGAGAAGTTAAATTACACTGCAGAACAATTACTCATTAATAGGGTTCGGGACTATGTTTGCAGAGTTCTTAGTAGGGTTCGGATTTATATGTATTAAAAAACAAAAATATGTAAATATATGTAAAGAAAATATAGTTCCTTTAAAGTATAACTGCTTTTATCATTTATCAGGTTTGATTACCGATCTCTCCAACCGCAGATAAACCTGATGAAATGATAATAACAGAATCGAACTGTAGCAGGGATTTTAAAATGCAATAATTGTTAAGAATAAAAACTCGAAGGAAACTGACAAACGAAATATTGAACATTTATGGTCGTTTCTTTACCTATAGTCAAGTAAGGCAATATTATATTGTAAATTGAATTAAACAGAATGATTGAATAATAATGAGTACAATCTTTATTTATAGTACGAGGCGATATTGTTTGTTTTTTTTTTGCTTCTGGTCAGTTCCTGTCGATTTAATATTGATCTCATATATATATATATATATATGTAATAAAAATCGCACATTTTAAATTAAACAATTATATTTATATTTTATATTTATTTATTGTTTATCTAAAAGCAGGTACCAGGTATAATCATCTTTACATAACTATACTTCGTTTGTTTTTTTTACTACAGCAAAAAATATTTTAGTTTGGTTGGCTTTATTTTTAGTTTTGCTAAATTAATAGCTTGAAATCAAACGTGTTTTTTTTTCAATCTCCTTTAAAAACAATAATCGAAAGTAATGTAAATAATCGTAAACATGAATGTATTTATTAAATATGTGCCCTTTATTTGATGGCCTTATGTGATAGATTTACCTACCTTATAGTGCTAACCGTATTCGAGTCACGGTACCAAGGTTGATTTTTAATTTCAGAAATACTCAAACGATCCTCCAACGGTGCTATCAATTTAGTTATCATCTGCTTACAGCCGTCGGATATCGTGATATGCTGCGGGAACGTTAGTTTCTTTTCTACTTGCTACATAGTAAACACATAATAAATTCATATCTACTATACGTTGTACAGGGCAATCGCAGTGGTCAAAGTGATAGACGAAGACGGAAGGCGGAGTCCACTTTTTTATTTAAGGTAAAAATATCAGTTCCCTTTAATTTAAGTCATCGGTATTTGGGGCGGCACTTTAGTTATTGTCACCGAGAAATTTTTACTCACATTTTTTTAAGAACTCGAATTATTTTTATTAAAAATAAATATCCTTTAATACCTATTCGGCTATACGTTCCTAATTAGACACCGTTCACTTTATTTTTACCGAGTAGCTATACGTGTAGAGTTATGTTTGAGGGGTGCAGTTAATTTTTAGGTCCAATAAGTGTAAAATTTGTATGTGAAAAAAAAGTATTTTGGTGGTCTTGATGAGTTTACTGAAAGAATGGTTTTTGGTTCAGTTAGTTTTCAGGATTACCCCTGAATTTCCGATAAATAAATCCTCTCTTCGAAGTTCACTCCACTTTAACCACTGGGCGGTTGTAAATACTGAGTAGAATACATTCTTAATCATTCTGTCATTACTATAACAATGAGACTCTCACTTCTATTAAGCCTTGGAGGCCCGAGTCATCGAAAGGGAGGGTTCCAAAGACGATGCAATAGAGTACTACGCCAATCGACCAAATGTCGGACGTATTGGGCCGGTGTGGAATATTTTTGAGTACTTCGGGAGACGCGTAAACGGCAGTACCGCAGAACGTTTTGCTCGTTTTAATAGTTCCGTTTTTTCCTATCATGTTATTACGTGCTAAACCGAAATCCGCTAATTTGATACTGAATTTGATGTCCAACAGCACGTTTTCGCATTTCAGATCCCTGCAATAACAACGAAATGGCAACGTTTGAAAAATAATATCACGTGGTCAACGACACGTACAATACGATATTACACACCTGTGAACTATTCCATTCGCGTGGCAATATTCTACGGCACTGACAAGTTCTTTGAACCATTTTCGCGCTATGCTTTCGTTTTGCTGTTTGTTCTTGACTATGTAATCATATAAACTCCCGATTGCCGCGTACTCCATAACAATATAAACACTAAGGGTATAGAAAACCTATAGAACCCATAAGACCCGGTCGCTTAGAACCATCTACTACGATTCAATCGGGAGGTCGTAGGTATTCAGTAGACAGAAAATGATAATTATATGATATAAAGTAATAAAGTATTATGATACTTCGAGAAAAATACCGTTGAAACGGTGAAGTATATACCGGGCGATCCCTTTAAGTGAGTACACTCATTATCTCGGCAAGTGTTAATTTTTTCCGGAATTTGTTTTCTAGAACATTTAAGAAACAAGCCGCTCTACGATTTTATATTAATGTTATTTTTTGTCACTCTTAATTTCAAGGGTAAAACCACTACCTACATTTGATTTTCAAATGGCCATCTATATGAAAAAATTCCGTAAATAAATGGGGCATTAGTCAAAATAAATTTCAGCGTTGACGAGATATTCCACTTTTAAGTTTGGGTTGGAGAAGAGTAGTGGAGTATCATTTTGTGTGACGGCGTGTTATTAATGCACCATTACTCTCCTGCAACCCAAACTTAAAAGTGGAATATCTCGTCAACGGATCGACGGAAATCAAAAATTTCAACACTAAAATCTATTTTAATATAGAGGAAAAGTTAATACATTCCGAGATGATGAGTGTACGCACTTGAATAAATCACCTGGTATATCGTGACCGGCACCTTATCAATCCCCTGACAACTAGAAATATCCGAATCCCGTAAATACTCGTTAATTAATATTATATTATTGCCGGGTGAGTAAACCTGCGCGACGTTTCAATCGCCTCGTAGTGTTCAATCAGGTGCTCGTGCCGTAGTTCTTTGATCACGTTGATTTCACGCGGTAAATACTTGTATAACAAGTTCGTGGGATAATTTTTCTTTGCGACGATCTTTATTGCGACATTGCACTCGTGCCGTTTAGAATACGCCAGCTGCAGTAAACATTCAAATCAATAAAAAAAAAATAACGTACGTTTTTCCATAGTCGAAAAATAAGGATACACGACCTTAACGGTAGCGTACGTCCCAGAACCGATAAAACGGCCCAAAGTGTACCCGTATTGTTCCAATACATTAACTTTCCGTTTTTCTTTCCATTTTGAGTCGTGGTCACAGCACGTTGTGTTACTATCGCTGAGGTTGTTACAATCGTTGCCGTTGTTGCTATCACTACAGTTTGTTTCCTGATTTCGTTCCAGAATTGATCCCATTGCCCGTACGTTGCGGTTTAGCAAACGTAAACATTTATTTAAAAAAGAATTTCGTTAATATTTTATTTGCAAATTTATTTCAAATGTACTCATGGGTATCATCTTAAACGCCGTTTAAACTGGCGTTGCCGAGGTTACCCCATCGTTTTTCATTATCTGTTTAACTATTTGTAACCTATTCAACTTTCGTGTCTAACAAAACTTACCGCAGTTAGTATAAAGTGTAACGATTGATTTTATAATCTAAAATAAACCGTATAACATTATAAACTCAAACGAGTATAACGCTACTGGTAACGTACCTTTTCGGGTTTTATCGCAATTTGTAAACATGTTTTTTATTGTTCTTTTTTTTTTTGTCGTAGTATACACATAATAACTTTTAGAAAAATGGTAATTTTGTTGCAGTTTAGACACATAAAGCCCTCTTTCTTTCTTTTTTTTTTTTTTTTTATACATATACACATATACATTTATAACTCTGGTTCTAAAATGATGTTTATGGTCTATTGCATTTTCATTTTAACCTCGCCGACAATATTGATTGTGTCGTTCGTGTATAGGCAACCTATTCTATTATGTTTATATGCCTATAAACATTGTAAAAAAGGTTATAAAACTATAATAATATGTACCTAAACGCATAAAAAAATATTATACTATTCAATTTTGTATTTTCACCATTATAATATTTATTATGACAAAAAAAATTAAGTTTGTTTTAGTATCGTTTTTTGTTTCGTAAAACGTTGATGCACGCCTATTATTATTATTACGTTCTAAATAACCACCTCACCGACGTTCCGAATTTATTTGAGTAGATAGTAGTAGTAGTATGTATTTCTATACCCTAATATTATTAATAACTATATTTATTTACTAATTGAAAAATTCTAAAAAATCAAATATTAATATTGAAAACCGCAACAGCTGCAGAGGGTTTATTTAATTGCATACACTGTTCAATTATATCTTTTGATTCATAGAACATAAGGCGGACTCACTGCTAATAGCCAGTATTCCTGCTTAGGCCACTCATTTTTATTTTATTCGTAAACAGTGTAGTTTTGTAATTTCATATGCCATACGGTTAATGTGTTGTATTAATCTGCGTTAATTAATTCAACGCACGGCGGTATCAATAATTATTACAAATGCATAGATACCGTAAGCTGAACGTTAACACACTTTTTTTTTGGTTTTACAATGTTTTTAAGACGTTGAAGTTCAAACTATTTATAAACTTATAATGTGTTTTACGGTTTAATTGTGCATGTTTTTCAATGACCGAAGATAGATTAAATCAATTATAATAAGAACGAAATTCTCAAGACGGCCATGGGTAGCGATTCCGCCCCACGCGGATCTTTTAAATTTACTATATTTTCATATACAGCACACTATATATAACATTGTAATCAACTAGTTTGCGTGTAAGTGGTAAGTGAATTATCATATTTTAAACGTTTACAAAGTTGGCCCACCCACTTCATCCGATTTCATCGAAACTGACGTTAACATTTTGCGAGTAATTTGGGAAAATTTGTGAGTCTTCTTCCGAAATTTCCGCTTCGTTTCTCCACAGGCAAGTGGACTGATTTCAGATAACCCACCCAATTCATCTGTCGAAATCGGTATCAAAATCTTCGAGTGTTAATTTGTTAGAATTTGCTTAATGAACTTAAAGAAAACGGAATAAGGACAATTAGAAGTTAAACCATACGTTTTCAGAATACGAGTTCGGAGGAACAGGATAAGAGGTTGACGGGACGAGACGAGTATTGACAATAAGCGGTGATATGAAATGTGCGAGTTTTGAGTTTTTTTACGAAAGATCGGTGGCTTTGAACGGGATGTGAAATATAAAACTAAGTGGATAAAAGCGTCAAATATTCGAGAACCACCTCTTGTCTCTTTCACAACCAATTATTTTGTGATGCAGTCAAAACGCTTAATGGCAATGGATATAAATTCGTCATGTTTAATAGCGTGACTCCGATTCGATGTAGTTATTCTATAAATAACATACTGAATAAATACTAATAACCGACACATTTGGATATTCGTTGGTATAAACTAAATTACCTTATGGGATATGCTTTCTAAACTTACCACATTTAACAGTTACCTACTCAGGGTGCAAAGTATATGTGTTTTTTCTGTATTTTTTCAAATACTATTATTCGATGGTTTTTTTTTCTATTCGGAACAATAAAGGAACTTGTTAATTTTATAAAAAAAAAAAAAAAAAAAATGGCGATTAATCAAGAATGTTTCTTTTTATAAACGTGGCGCTATATTGTAGACAATACTGGACTATAATACCTAGAGATGAAATTAGATAGGTTCTGTGGTGTACTGCAGCAACATAAATAATGCTTTCACATCTATTTACAAATTACAAATACTCGGTTGACATATGGTATCAATAAAATAGTTTTAGCGATTTTCAAATGAAATCAATGTCGATAATTTATAGTTGCGGATTTCACCACAAATTCAATATATTGTTTATGTTGTACGATGCGACAACTGATTGTTTCGAGTCGTCACGTAGCTGTTATATGAAAGCAATAACACAACTCGATGAAAGTTTTTATACGCAAACAGTTTTCAAAATTATAATAATGTAAATACGTACACGTATAAGTACTGCAATAAACAAAAGTTTCTACTCTGAAATTGTACGCGTTAAGGACGAATGTAATTATAGTACGGAAAGATGGTTTCTTTAAATATCAGTACTTCACTGCGGCGGAAAGAGAGGTGGATACGAGGGAAGGAGCTAGAGAACTAAGTCACTCAAATGTTACATTAGTTTTTCCAATTACATTGGTTTTACAGGGTTGCTTTTTTTTTTTTTTTCGTGTCAGAATAAATATGTCGCGTGTTAGATGTTTTCTTTTAATATTATTTAATAATTTATATTTTTAACGACGATCAAAAATATAATACGTATTTTCTTTAAGTATTTTGTTCGTAAGTGTTTAATAAAATAACATAATCGGGTATCTATTACGATTTAATAATACGCAAAATTAAAATTTATTTTCGTTTAGAATTCGAGGTGGGGAGTCGAGAAGCGAACGTATCAAAATTATACGTTTTGAATAAAAAATACTAGCCCCTCGCTCCTCGAAATTCGAACGGATTTCCGACCGTGCGTGTAACGAAACTGAACTACAACTTTCCACCTATATAAGCGAAAAGTGTTTTACTTTCGTTGTCGAGAAGTAGGCAAGCGAGACAAATGTCAGAATTGTTTGTCCGCGGCACCGCGCAATATTAAGCATAATATGGTGTTGCGTAATTACAACTGGAATATTGCGAACCGCCTTAAATTCTAATAATAATGCTGCGGGCTGCAGGCGAGGGGTTTGGCGGGTAGACGGGTACAGTTTAATGTACACAACGGTAAACCGTCGCTAACGGTCAACGATTCTGAGCGGAGTTCGGTTGTGAAAAACTATGTGCCGGAACGTGCATCGGTATCGACGTGATACGGCCGTTTTTCACGCACGCATGACAAACCGCGGATGATAATACCGCGCAGTCATAATGTATTATGCAAACGGTTTTCGGCGATGAAGGGGACCGCGTTTCGCCGTACGCGCGTAAAACACTGCTCCCCGAACGGTCAAATTCACCTCCGATGCCGCGTTTAGTCGATTAACCGAATCGGGTTATTACCAGTCTGTCGCGCCGGCGGACGTTCGCGTCCGTTCGTCTCGATTCGTTTGACGTCGAAACGCCGTTTCGACCCGACGGCCGTCCGACGCGGCATACCGTCATGTCCGTTGCGTCGACCGAGCGGGCGTCTCGGACGAATCACGCACGTAGCGCTACTGGCAATAACGCAACTCTGCCCGCGTAACAATACGGCCGCGCGCGGCGTTTGATTTTCGACGGCGAAAAGCGACGCGCCCCGTCCGCCGCCGGGACCCCGCGAAAGTTTATTTACACGAGTCGCTACCACCTCCGCTATTCGACCCCTCGCCGTGCGCGCTCGCCCGCGCACACGGCGTTTCGGGGGGAGCGACGGGGACGCGGATCGTAATGCATTGCGACAACGGCGGCGGTGCGATAATGGACACGTGTTTCACGGTGTAAATATACGAGACACACTGCGTGCGGCGCGCGCGACGTTTCCCGAGGAGGCCTTTGGCGCGCGCACGGCGTCCTATCGAAAAGCCGCTCGTTTTGCCGCGGCGTTTCCCTCGCGGGGATAACTCAGTCCCGTTAACACCTCGCGGCCCGGGCACGCAGAAACGCTATTGCGGTTGTACAATTTTAACGGGAAAACAACCGAGACCGGCCGTAATCAACGAATCGGAAAACGACCGCGATAACGAACGGATCATAGCGATTAACGGTCGCGATATCACCGTTGATAAAATACGTTACCGTTTTTACGGTTCGATTAGGAATACGGGACACGGGTAACGGGACACGGGGCGAACACAGAGTGATCGGGGTACGCGACGCGCACGGCAGATGACGCGTGATTTTCCGTCGCTCGCGTAAAACGATAATAATAAAAATCAACGTTTTCGAGGTGCGACAATTCCGAGCGGGACTTTCTTCAAATATCAACATTTTCAATCGTGCGTGTGTGTCCCGTCAACGTGTCCCGCCGTACGGTTCGCCGCTTATTGTATACGCGTACGCAAAAACGGGAACCGATTCGGCGCGCTTTCGCTAGGCGCGTTTCGAAAAACGGGAACCGAGACATTCGGCCCGAGGCGTCGGCGCGCCGAACGTTTTTCGTACTTGCGGCGGAACCAGGACGCGCCCGATCGAAACGTCGGATTTGTGTGGCGGGCACGCGCCACAAATAATCGCGGCGAAAATCGTCGTTTGGCTACGTTGGCGGCATAAAATATAGGCAATCGTGTACGTAGGTAGGCGTATGCAGTGGCGTAGTGCGATACGCGAAATTGAACGCATCTCCTCGGACCGCTGAACCGGTCGGCCGCAATCGAATATTCGACGTATGTCCGGTGCGCAGCCATCCGCCCGAGCCCGTTTCAGTGATGAGGCGATCGCGTCGGGAAAAAATAAATAGAGAAATAAAGAAAACCTACTTCCGCCCGCCGCTGATGCTCGGGTACCGCGATTCGGCGTCGACATGTTCTTTCAATAACAGTGCACGATTACAACGCCGCCGCCGTCACCACCACAACCCCCCCCCCCCNCCCCCCCCCATCACGCATGTGTATACGTACGTATCGATCGGGCTTAATGCGTGCATTCGCGGTGCGCGCCCTCGGCTGTAACGTGTAACGGATGTACAGGGTGTCCCACGAGGATTCGACGAACGCAATAACTTTCGTTTCGTTTTTGTTTTTTTTTTTTTTAAATTTTGAGATTTTACTACGGGTTTTTTGAAGAAAAAAAAAAAAAATTCAAAACGCCCGTTTTCGGAGTTTTTAGACGATTTTCGTCCGTTGAAACTATTGTTGAACTACGGTCTTTTATTTTCTACGGTTTTTCGAAAACTCGAATGGTTTTCTGTACGACCAAAAACAAAATACATCGATTATTGTCGACATAAATTATTAAATCGTCGATTGACCGACACCGTGACCTCACATCTATATGATGCGATAATATTATTGCGCGATGTTGTCTATCGCGGCAAAGAAAACCCGCGTCACGCGCCCTCTGTCTATAATGTCCGATTAAACGCTGTGTTGCGGGATGCCCGCGATACGTAGGTAATATTCGCATTTGCGAAAACCGCGAAGACCATAGCGAAAATTGTTTGTTTTACGTCCCTCTCGCACTGGAAAAAAAAAAACAAAACAAAAACAATAATAATAACAGTACACGTACAACGGTTTACGTCGAAAATGTCGAACGGAACGAAAGTTGTCGCGTCCGTCGATTCGCGCGCGGTAGACACACCCCCCCCCTCCTTCCCCATTCCCCGCGTACGTATAACAATCGCCCTGTATACCGCAACGTGCGCGCACTTACCGTAACGACGTCGCGGCCGTGTCGGTGCGTGCGCGCCGCTCCGACGCGCGTACACGGTAATGTTGCGCGTGTGTGTACACGGTGACGCGGCGGCGGCGGCGGGACTTTTCGGCGCTCGTTTAGTCATCGCCGCCGCCGCCGCGGTAACCATTTCTCAAGACCCGCGTACCCGACCGCCCCCTCTGGGAAAACCGCCGAGTGTTTGGCGCGCGCGAGCACGCGGGCGGGGTTGCGGGGAACGCGCCACCGGCGCACGTCCGCGGGACGCGCGTTTCGCGATTCCATCCGCGTACGCCGCGACAATAAGACGCGACGCGCACTGTCCCTCGCGCCCGTAGAATTACGCACGCTTACAGGACGTGCCGCGCGCGCGTCGGGAAACACCGTCGGATAGCGGAATCGGGATTCTCCCGCGGCGCCGACGACACGTCGTTTTTCACTCGTTCCCCTCCTCCGCGTTTTCTCTTTCCACGGTCGGTTCGGCCCGCAGATTTTTCGTTCGCTTTTCTTGACAATATATTGCAACGTGCGCCGTCACGCGACACGCGCCGTAATCCATCGCGCTATTTATACCGTGTATGTTTTAGTTTTTTTTTTTTTTTTTTTTTTATCATTTTTCATTTTTCTTTTGTAACCGGGAAAAAAACCAACGAAAAACCCGGGAACGTATACGCGATAAACGATTTCGGTTATTTTTCGGTTTACATTTTTGGTTTTGATTCGGTTTCATGGGGATACAATTGTCATAAACACGATTCGTGTAAAGCAGGGAGTCACGGTGTACGGGGGTGTCGGGCGAGATACCAGTAGGTACATATTTTTATATTTTATGGGCTCGTAAAATACGGTGTCGCCCGAAATCGCCTCTCGAATCTGTCGTGACCTTAATTTTTCCGAGGGAGGGAAGGGCGCGATACCGTTCAAGCGGGATACAGGACAAGTGTACTTTATGGGGTTGTGACGTTTGATGACGCCGAAACCGTAGTTTATACCCTACGACTGCTTTCAGAGGAGAGAAACTTACTTCTTAAATTATAATATGAATGAAGAAAGTATTTGGATATCGAAATTTCAATAATATTTCATTTATTGAGCGGTGTAGTGGTTCGGTCATCGGGTTCTGGGCACAGTGGCGCAACTAGGGTAGGGGTTGAGGTTGTGAGTCTAGATTTTACTTAACCTGAACCTAACCACGGGCCCGAGAAGCGTTGAAAGATAATATTTGACAGGAAATGGCCGCTATTCAGCCGGAAAAACTTCGAAAAGTGATGGGAGATGAAAAAAACGAGCGCATTCTGAATGCAACCATTTACGCGATATTATTTTTGAAAAGTAATCTGAACAAATTTCCGTGTCTAAAATAAACAAAAAATTATTCAATATTAATAATTTGTTTGTTTTTTTTTTTTTTTTTAAATTATTGCCAAAAAAACATTCCACAGGTTTAAACAGCCCACCATATACTTATGAGTAAAGTATGTTCTTTAAATACATAATTAATATGGGTCTAAATAGTTTTCTAATATGCGTTGACTGTAAATGAAAGTTAAACAATTTAAAGATTTTGTTCATAAATCTAATTAAACTTTACTCCCTTCACCTCACCAAACGCCATCTGAAATTGATTATTTTTTTCAAATTCATAAAACCTCCTCCGGAAATAAATCCTGGTTGCGCCACTGTCTGGGATAGTTATCGGTAGGTATTAGGCAGATCCGAATTTTAATTTCACAAATGGTCAACAATTTTTTATATTTTTCCTCCAGTTATTGTAATGAAATGTGTCTTTGTCTTTGACTGTAGGTACACGCAGTAGATACAGGTAGTACAGGTAGTTGATATTAACAAGGAGATCAGGAGCGTCTACGGAAGAATTTAGAAGAGATGAAAGAAACCGCCAAATGGTCAAGTAACATTTCAATAACATAACATTGCTGTCTGGGAATGTAATAATTGTTTTAGGTAGGTATAAAAATTATATACAAATTAGAAAAATTGCGACATTTCAAAACATGATTGACCAAACGTTAATCAGAAACGTTTTTCTTTTGCAATGATTTATCGTTGGACACACTGTACAGGGAAATGTAGGAAAAAAAAGCCACGAAAAAAAACTTATGGAATAAAAAGCCACAGGGAAAATAATCTATGGGAAAAACCACGGAAAAAGAAGCCAATTAATTAATTTATTATAATTAGTTACATTAAGTGTTATGAATTATATTATTAATTGTATACTTTTTTAATGTAATGAATGCATTATTATTATTGTTTACTGATGCCTTCTATAGAACAATTTTTTTATTGTACAATGTGTATTTTTTTAAATTTTTATTTGTACTAAAAACTTTATTCAACTTAATTTTAATTTCAGTAACTTTTCTGGTAAGAAAATTTATGACTGATCGGGGAAAAACAAAAAAAAAAATTAAAAGTACAAAGTATACACATTGTATTTATTTTCCGTAGATTTCTTTTCCTGTGGCTTTTTTTTCTTGACTTTTTTTCCGTGATTTTTTTTCCGATTGCCACTGTATTGCCACTTTCATAATTTTTAAATTTTTTTTTGGCCTAATAATATTTGTTATGATTATTCAGTAATATGTATTATTGTTAAACATAGATATATAAACCATAATAAATAAATATTGCTATAGTTATTTCGGTTTTATTATACTACAAGTTATATATACTAACAGTGCATATAAATAGCTGAAATTGTTGCTAAAATTTTATTTGATTAGTTATAGTCTTAATTAGTGTTTTCTAAAATATTTTAACATGACCGATGTGGAAAGTTCAGACGAGTCGACTAATACAGTTCACCTGAAGTAAATATATTTAATCACGGCGACAGTATTTTTTAGATAGTTCACCTTGTACCCCAACTAATTTATTTTTATGTAGAACGTACGTAGGATGGTAGACAATTCGGATGTTTAACTAATTCAAATGTTAGTATTGGGTATCGACGATACCCAATTATAACCTTTTAACACCCTATTTATTTTTAAGCAGTAGCGATTTTACTGGTTTCAGACTCCAAGTTTAGACTTTGAATTAATTTGACATTGAAAATTTAAAAAAAAAAAACGAAAATAATTTGTAAATTAATACGAAATATAATACTTTTTTTACACACATCATGTATATATTATTTATAAAATACTATATGATGCGTGATAATATATAATATTATATATTTATAAAGTTGGACAAACTGGAAAAAAACGGAAAAATGTAAGTAATATTTTAATAAAATATTAGTCTTTTTTATCTGTGGCCAATTTTTCTACTCGCAATTTTGCCCCGATTCACAATGATTGAATGAAAGCACTTTTTCTAAAAGATAATCGGATTGGGGAGGCACTTTAGCGAGGTCATTTTTTGATTTTCCTAGGAGTTTTCCCGATAAATGGGATAAACGGGAAAATAGGTACAATATTAAAGAAACTGTATAAGACATATGTAATTATTTTACCATAATATGGCATATAATAAATATTGTTGACAAAGTAACATATACGTTAAATTACCTATAGCAGTGACTGCACTCGTCCCCATTATCCTAGGACAGCTTTTTTATTTTGTGAAACATACATTATACATTAGATTATGTAAGTAAAACAAAAATTATTTTTTCTGGCAGTGAAAGTTTGATAATTTAAATTAAATTAATGTATGATCAACGGGAAAATATTTGTTTATGTTAAATATATAGGTAATATCAATAGACCCCCCCCCCCAGAAAAATGTCCTAAAACCACCGCTGATTTTAGGATCGCCTACAATAAATAAATGCAATTTATAAGAAAAAAAAACAAATCAAATAGTTTTACTGTTTCAAATATTATTACACAGAATCGAACAGAATGCAAATCAAACAAATAATACGAGGACAAATGTTTTCGATACTCTAGAAAAAGAATTGTTGACGAGTGATGTCGATACGACTTTGACGAATAAAAATGAGTTGGGAAATAATGACAATAACCCAACAATATCATCGCATCCTACGAGTGAATCACATCGCTATGATAATATACCACCGATTCATAATTATGATCTGGTCGAAGATTCGGCCAGAAATCACTCCGTGGACAGTACGATAGCCAAATGCTCGTCGTTCGAATCGCTTTTGGAAACAAAAGACCATTTGTTTAAAGAACTTTCGACGATTGAAGAGTCGATGCTTAATTATTTTAAAAACCTCCGAACAAACTTTGAAAAAGAGTCCGCGACGCTCTCGAAACAGATTCAGATCCACCCGGAATCCATTAACGGTTGTAAATATGATATTATGTCTTTTAAATTACAATCGTACCAATAAAAAAATACAAAGATATATAGAATATTATGTACCGCGTCAATGACGTAATTTAGGTAAAAATATCGATCGCTGCCATGACGACTCGTGTACAGCTGCACCGGTAACATTTGAGTATGCCGAAGAAACTGCAGCACTCGTAGGAGATTATGAAGGTGGTGACTGCAATTGGTATCATAATAATTCGACCGACAACGAAGAGTTCACGACAGCGACCAATGACAAGAACGGCGAAGACAATTATTGTGATGATGAAGATTATTACGGACGTTATTGGGAATTGTTTCCCGATGACACGGAAATGAGTGATGGTACATCGATATTATACAATCTTTTTATATATATACTTGCATACACAAAATATACATACACACATACATACATAAAATAACATATTTTTCTGACGATATTTGTTATAACGTAGGCATCTGTTAAGAAAGGATTTTTGAAAATTCAACCCCTAAGGGGGTAAAATAGGGGTTTTTAGGTATTTACGGTTCGAAAATCTAATTTTTTATTTATTTTGTTTTGTTTATTCGCATTTTACCTTGGTGACACGGATTTTCACATACAAGACAATTATTATTATTATATTGCTACTTTTATTTATTACATTATCTAGTTATAGCAAAGCATTGCTGGGTCAGCTAGTAAACAATACAACTTACTGCAAGTCTATTGCACCTCATGAATTTTTAATAATAAAATCTGAATAGTCAAAATTAAAAAATATACAAATCTCAGGGTTGTTTTATGATATAATTTATAACGAAAGATTGAAAAAAAAATCAAATTTGGTTATATCATACGTTTCTTTTACCCTTTATTTGAAAACGAATGTCTAGATTGTAGTAGGATACCAGGTTCTTACCCAGGGGATTCGATTTCCATTATCGGTACCGGGATATATTTTTCATATTGAGTATTAAGGATTTGAACAAAAACAACCAAGACGTAAAAATTAAGAATAATATTGTGGCTTATAGGGATGAGATATCTGAAATCTAATCGCAATAATCGTCACAATGCGATCGGATCGACTATTGAAAAACTACCCAAACAAAATCATCGACAAAAAAACGACCACTATTACAATTCCGTTGATGGCGACCAACAAGAGTCTGCAGTAGATGAAAAACTGTTATGGAACCAAAACTGTTTGAGACCGTCAGACAACTCGCAAAGGCGAGACGAGGCGACTCGCAAAACTTGTAAGCGCATTATAAAAAAGTTGTCCTAGGATAATGGGGACGGGTGCAGTCACTGTTATGAATGAGAAGTTGAGAAGGTATTAGAGTAAAATTTTAATGTATATCTGTAAGCAACGATAAACCATTGCTAACGAAAAAAACGATTCTGAGCGGAGTTCGGTTACTGATAGTGTTGCTTTGTAAACAATGTCTATGTCATATTATGGTATAATAATTACATATGCATTATATATTTTATTTTATTTTTATTTAATGTTGTACCTATTTTTCCGTTTTCCCCAATTTAACCATGTTTTTCCTGGTTTTACCCATTGGGAAAACTCTTGGGAAAATCAAACAATTATCTCATTAAAGGTTAAACAACCCCAGTCAGATTTCCCTTCGGAAAAAGTGCTATCATTGAAAATCGGAGCGAAATCGTTGATAGGAAAGTTGACCATAGAAAAAAAAAACGATTAAACATCATTGTAAAACCATACGCTTCTTCGCTCCATTCAGAATCTAAAATACAAATATCTTTTATTTAATCAAGCCAGTAAAGAAAACCGTTTAGTACCATATCTAGACTACTAGAAAAGTAATATAAGCAGATACACAGGCATTTAAAATAAACTAGTAAAATGTAAAATATATACATTACTAATAAGTATAATATTGATAACTATCAGCTAGAGAGACGAGATATCTGAAGGAGGTAGTAAACCGTGGTAATATCACGGAAAATAGACCCTGCAGTAACGTTCAAATAGAAAATAATAAAGACAGTTCCCATTGGTTCTATTCGCTGCTTGACGAAGATAGCAGCCAAGAGTTGATTGCCTAAAAAAAAATGAAAAAAACATTCATGAAAAACTTCGAGGCCAGCCATCGAAAAATGTCGGGAATCGTCGAAAACCGCAGTGGGCCGCCGAAGATGGTCAACCGGAAGTTAGGAACCCACTAGAAGTATCATACCTACCAATATATTGTGTATAATTCTGTTCCAAAAACTCGTTAAACACAGTCAAGATGCTCGTGTCACATTAATATTATATTATAGCTATGGACTTGTAATTAAATAAACCTAAACGATCGAATTTCACTGTTTGTTTTTACAATAAAGTGTCTATGAATTTCGATTTGATCATACCATTATAATGTTATAATATAGACACGACTTATGACATAATTGTAAATTATAAACTCATTCCGTAAAATATAATTAATTACATTTTGTGTTTTTATTAAACTGTTGCCGACGAAATACTATTCAGAGCAAAATTCTGCTATACATGTTTTGATAAGCCATCATTTCTCCTCATTAGGACGCTACATGTGCATTATTGTTGTGTTCATCTTATAGACACACGATAATGAAAAAACATGCTTGAGCAGACTACATAGAACTCGCTTAATTTTGGTTTTAGAGTAAAAGCATCGATTATGAAACTAATAGAGAACAATATTTCGGGGGGAGGGGGGGGGGTAAAACGTTGAGTTTTTTCTACGATTTTTTTTTCAAAAGTGTTCTAAAGTTACTGTTGTGTTTGGAAAAATTGTAAAAAAACGCAATGTTCTCCAGAATATTGTATTCTTTTAATTGTATAAAGTGTGTTTTTACTCTTAAACCAAAATGAATAAATGTGTAGCGTCCTCTTAAAATCAAAAAAAAAAAATACAACATTACGTTCAAATGTTTTTTTTGATGATAACTAAGTACAAACGATTACGAACCCCAATGAAGAGTTTCCCCTTGACTTTACGACAATTTTTAATCGTCCTGTATCGTAATTTTTCTGATCTGGTTTGTTTTGTCCTGTACATTACATGTCCCTATTTATTGCAATATCTGTAGCTCTCAGCCCTTTGATAAAATCCGATGTGTACGATAGTTTAGTTATCTTATCTCCGAACGCAATTCAGTGATAATATGTCATACCGAATAAATACATTGCCCTCAATTCAACGCCTAGCCTGGGACTCAATAAACCAAAGCATTCTCGTGGGCGCCCGCAAAAAATGTATCAAGGGGTGGCATAATAAGATCAAACACTAAAAAGTACTTAAAATTGAATTACATTTAAAATTTCGAAATCCACGGGGAGGGGGGCAGATATCTTGTCCACACCCCCTACGGGCCCACGTGCGCATGCTTAAATTACTATCCGTGTGATTGTACGAAAGTTACTTTATTTTTTATAGTTTTCTCTCAAACTGTGGTCATAATATTTTATAATATTTTTATTATATATTTATAACAGATAATAATGTTAATCGAGGGCACGTGAAATGTTTTTATTATAATATAGAAAATACGTTACGGAGAAATTCGTGATTACCGAAGAAGACGTTGTACACTTACCACTTGTGCTTGTGTATAATAATATTATATGGCACAAAAAACACATTGCCGCCGTTTAACATTAATTATATACACCCGCGGCGGCGGCGTCGCATTTTATAATTTTTTTTACATAATATAATGTATACCTATACGTATGAGCGCGTGAAATCGCGCGGCCACGAGACGACGCGTGTTAAACACGCAGACGATACAGATCTATACGGTAATTATAATATAATATGACGAGAACGGGATGGCGTCCGTTCCCCATCCGCACGGCCGAGAAGGACAACGAAATTATTGAACATAACCTCAAATATTTTCGGATACTGCGTTTCTTTGCGAGCTCATGCCGGAACTTTGTCGAAAATAACCATCGATATGTTATGCGAAACCACGTAGTCGAGTAAATTACGGAGGAAAATGAATTCGCGGCGGTGGTGAGTGTTGAGAACTGTTTGCCCTCGCACAAAAAAAAAAAAAAAAAACGTTCCGCGCGCAATTTATTGGAAACGAATCTTCCGGACAAATATTTTCTCCCGGAGCGGTAATAATTTGTTCGGTTTGGCGTATCGAAAATGTACAGACAATTTTTCAACGAAATTTTCATCGCGAAATATTAATCGATTTCCATAATGTTTAATAAATGTCTATAAATAGAGTGAAAATCGAATTTACTAGATATCTTCGCTGGAGACGTGTATTCCATTGTTGTCGGTGGAAAGTTGCAGGGAATGTGGGATGCATCAAGTTATTTAATTTATATCTGTGAGCGATGAAACATTTAAAACTTTTTACCACTAAGTATGACTTTTATCTTGAACCTCCTGTTAAATTTCCAAGCATTTCTGTTTAATCAAACGATTTTATCCGCACAGTACGTATCAAATATAAATTACGTATAAAACTAAAATATTAAAATATCTATAAAGCTCGAAAATTGCTTAAACATTTTGAAAATTTTACCACGCCTAGAAAAAGCGAATATAAGTTGTCCGTTCAAATTTCAAGTTTCTACGAACATTTTAAACTGAATTACAACAAAAAAAACCCAATCATTGTAAAATCGGTACATTCCTCGCTTCGCTTAGCATCTAAAATCGGAAATAGCAAAAGCATTATTTCCGTAAATTTCCCCGTTCTTTCTATGGTTTTTTTTTTCTCATTATTATGAAACCCACTTAGAAAATCAAAAAACGCCCTACTCGATAGAACAACTAGATAAAATTTTCCTTCAAAAATGGCGCTACACTTGATACATCGGACCAAGATTTCTGGTAAAAAAGTTACTCGCGGTAAATCAAGAAAAAATCATATGTATATTAACACCAATAAATCCCGTGCCGTACGGTCTGAATCTAGAAAACAATCGTCATGCACAACTGTTACGCAGAGTACAGACCCGGTTCTCGTCGACCCGAGGCAGCGATTTAATTATCGCGTACAAGGATACCCATTATCGGTATCGTTAATATGCTCCGTACGTATGATTATAATTGGCTGCGGTTAATATTATAATTACATACTATAGGTACGTATTATTCGCGGTATAACCGAGATACACGATAGGGGATACGTTTATTTTTTTTACAATGTATCGTATTGCCGCGGTAATATTATCATGCAATACTATTAAATCGCGTTTACACAATATAATTAAACCTATTTTTTTTTTTTTTTTATTATTATTATTGTTGTTATTGTTGTTGCCGGACGGCGTATTTATGCGCCGGCATAAAAAATTTTACTCAGTCAATACTATCGTCGCTAGTCACAAGTCAAATTTTTCAATTTACTGTTTTTTTTTTTTAATAAAATAAAAATATTATAAATTGCCCGATAAATCGATGAATTAAATATTAAAATAAATTTTAAGCTTTTTTTTTTTTTTTCACGGCATTTTTCGATGATATTCATAGTGCATTTTAATCCGGGCCCTAGTTATAATATTACGCGTTACCCGAATACCAGTCAATTATTGTGTTCCGCATTTGCGACTTTTCACTCTCCCGCTCTCCGATTTAATATTGTTATTTGTAATACGCTATAACATGTACAGGCGCCGGCGCATAAACACGCCGTCCGGCAACAAACATAATAATAATAAAAAAAAAGAAAAAAGGTTTAATTGTTATTTTGTGTAAACGCGATTTAATATTATTGCATGGTAATATTACCGCGGCAATACGATACATTGTAAAAAAATAAACGTATCCCCCTGTCGCGTATCTCGGTTATACCGCGAATAAAACGTACCTATACATAAATACGTATTTGCCGTGTTTGACTGATCGACTGGAAAACACGAACTACATGGGTAATATTTTGAATAAGCTAAATGTTTAGATTATCAAGTCGAAACGAGTATCTATAACGAATATATTTGAATCGATGGTCGTATTATGTACAAATACTACGTTATACTCTGCAATAAAACCGAAAAAACGCTAAAAAAAAAAAATTAAAAAAAAAAAATAGTTTCTCCTTTGAAGTCTGTTACACGAATCAAATTATGCACTTGGAAAGCATCATCGCTGAAAAAAAAAATGCATTGTGCATTGAAATCCGGTCCCTAATTATAAATATTGTAATTTATAATCGTGCGATAGGAGGATGAGGAGATTATACCCGCGCATTTACTATTTTGGTGCAAGGGTCTAACCGACAAAAGCGACCGGTTGAATGTAAACTGTCGCGTGTTAAGGTCGAAAGTATAATTTAAACGCCGAAACGCAGATTCCGCGAAATTAAAAACGGTGAATATTTTCGGGAACCGGAAGCATTTTATAAAAAATACACCCATCTAAATATATTCACACCTGTCCGCGTTCATTAATAATTACGTCATTAATATCCGCATTACAGTGGTTTAATATGAGAAAAAAAAGACAATTTTAAATTTTAAAATCAAAATGTATAGCGTTTAAAATAATATTATCGATCCCTAAACCGCCTTTATTGTTATTGTTTTTTTATGCGCATAAAAAAATATCCTACCAGAAATCGTGTTCCGATCGAAAAATCACAAGAGACCGTTTTCCCTGTATTTCGGATCTAGCCGGTGCATTGAGGAGATTAATGTTTGAATTTTCTTGTATTTTTCAATCGGAAAGTGATTTCGTTTTCATTTGTAACCGTCCGTTAAAAATAACCGTAAATATTTAAAATTTCCGTAGAACACTTTTATTAGCTTTTTCTAGAAGCGATCCTGTTGTGGCGAGTTTTTAACCGTTCGCTGCAAGTATACGTTGCGCCCATCGGACAACGGTTGAGCTGAATGTAGTTTCACAAGCGTTTTTTTTTTACAATTTGAATTTTCAACGAAAATCGTAAACTCTACAGAATTTCAAAACGCGTTCGTCCAACGACACCGCCCAGAATCGCATTTCGTCAGCAACGATTCGCCGTTGCGCGCGGACGTAAACCGAATGTCGTTGTGTCTTCCAACCTTCCTCCCGACTTTCCGCCCGCAACAGTGACGCGCCCGTTAGTTTGGGCGT